ATGGCTATCAATAGTCCTAACCACACATCCTCGGCTGAGACGACCACAGTCTTCAACGCACGAGATCCAGCAAGCACCTTGCTCACGGTGAATATGTCAAACATCACCAAGTTGACAAACACCAACTATCTCATGTGGAGCAAACAGATCTGTGCTCTATTTGAAGGTTTGGAACTCCACGGGTTTCTTGATGCCACAACCTCTGTCTCTCCCACTGCGACTAACACCGACGGCCAGAATGGAGCGAATCCTGCATACACTCCATGGAGGAGACAAGATCGGCTTCTCTACAGTTCCCTTATTGGAACTATTTCGACACCGCTCCAGCCGTTGGTTTCTAGTGCTACAACGACTGCTGAGATCTGGAGCCTTCTTTCACAAACTTTCGGAAACCCTACCCGTGGCCACATACGTCAACTCAAACTCCAAGTCCAGTCATCATCTAAAGGTACCAAAACAATATCTGATTATCTCAGGAGCATCAAGGTTACAACCGATGAACTGGCACAACTTGGGAAGCCTATGGATCCAGAAGATATTACTGAATACGTTCTCAATGGTTTACCTGAAGATTACAAGTCAGAGATTGATGCCATTCATGGCAGAGACACCACGATCTCCTTTGCAGAACTCCATGAACGTCTCCTCAACAGAGAGGCAATGATCCTCTGCAAAGCTCCGGTGTCAACACCAGAAACTCCTATCACTGCAAACGCCACAGATACACGTTTCAGGAACAACAACCACAACTACAATCAGACTTGGCGGCCAAACAATCGCAACTCCAGCAGCAGGAACTACACACACCAGAACCAGAATCGATCATCACGTCCATATCTTGGACGATGCCAGGCGTGTGGTACACAGGGACACAGTGCTAAATACTGTCCCGAATTTCTCATTGTTCGCGGTTCAGGCTCAGCGCAACAGTGGAACACGAATCAGCCATGGCAGCAACCTCCTAATAACCCACATTCATGGCAGCCACGAGCTAATGTTGCAATGATGAATGGCGACTCATCTACATGGTTGCTTGACTCAGGGGCTTCACACCATATGACATCAGACTTAGCAAACCTGTCTCTCCATGCTCCATACAACGGTGGTGATGATGTGATTCTCGGCGATGGCTCGGGTCTCAACATCTCCCACACTGGTTCTTTATCTCTTCCCTCTCTCAAATCACCATTCTTTATTGATAATGTTTTATATGTACCTGCTCTAGACAAGAACTTAATCTCGGTTTTTCAGTTATGCACAACTAATGGTGTGGCTGTTACTTTTACTCCGACGTACTTTCAGGTTCGCGATCTGAATACGGGAGCTCTTCGACTAGAAGGCAAACCTAAAGGAGGAACTTATCTCTGGCCGAAATCACCCACCTCTACTCCACCCTCTTTATCTTATGCTTCTGCTACTTCTACTACTTTATCGGATTGGCACTCTCGTCTAGGCCATCCTGCTTTTCCTATTTTAAAAACAATGCTTTCAAAATTTAGTTTACCTTTGTCTTCACATGGTTTATTGACTAAGCCGTGTAATGCCTGCTCTATTAATAAGATGCACAAGATGCCTTTTTCAAATTCAACTCTTACTTCTTCTTCTCCATTAGATATTGTATTTTCAGATGTTTGGACATCTCCTATTATTTCAATCGACAATTTTAAGTACTATGTTATTTTTGTAGATCACTATACAAGATATACATGGTTTTATCCTCTAAAAAGAAAATCCCAAGTTTCTGAAGTTTTCCAGCGATTCAAAGTGTTGGTTGAAAATAGATTTCAATCAAAACTTAGAACGCTTTATACGGATAATGGTGGTGAGTACATTGCTTTAACTAATTTCTTGGCAGACAATGGCATCTCACACTTTACTACACCACCACACACTCCAGAGCATAATGGCATTTCCGAAAGGAAGCATCGACATATTGTCGAAACTGGACTAGCCCTCCTATCGCATGCTTCAATGCCGAAAGGCTATTGGACTTATGCTCTTGCTACTGCAGTGTATCTTATAAACCGTATGGCTACTCCTATTTTATCTTTGAAATCGCCTTTTGAGTCTCTGTTTGGTCAGGTTCCAAACTACTCTAAGTTAAGAATTTTTGGTTGCTTATGTTTTCCTTGGCTTCGTCCTTATACATATCATAAGCTAGATTCTAGATCAACTCCATGCATATTCTTAGGTTATTCTACTACTCAAAGTGCATATTTCTGCCTTGATAGAAATACTTCACGCATATATACATCTAGACATGTGATCTTTCATGAGTATGTTTATCCATTCTCTTTGCCCTCTCCACTAATTTCTGAAAATCGAACTGAAGTTGTTGATGCAGGTTCTTCACATGAAACAGGACCACTGGTTCAAGTAGTCCCTATACAAGCGCCTACAACTAATATTACTGCAGAACCCTTACTGCAGGAGCCTGCTCCAGTTACAACATCAACACCTACGGCTCCTGCAACTACTACCCCTCCAACTACGAGCACTCCTGACACTGTCATACCTCAACAGACCTCACCACAGCCGTTAATACCACAACCACAGCCTGTTCTGCAGCAACAACAACAACCGGCTTCCACTTCAACTACCTCTCTGCCTCTCCCGCAACGACAACCAACACGTACATCCCAGCGAACAAGAAAACCAGTAGAGAAGCTCAACTTGTCTGCAGTCGTGAATATTGGCTCGGAAAAGATCCCCACCTCTGTAGCAGAAGCACTGAAAGACCCTAGATGGCGTCAAGCTATGATAGACGAGATCAACGCGCAACTACGCAATCATACATGGGATCTGGAATCCCCACTCCGAGCAGCTAATGTCGTGGGTTGTAAGTGGGTGTTTACAATCAAAAGGAAGGCTGATGGTTCGGTGGACAGATTCAAAGCGCGTCTTGTTGCGAAGGGCTTCAACCAAAAACCAGGAATTGATTATCATGATACTTTCAGTCCCGTCGTCAAGCCTGCAACAATTCGTCTCGTTCTCAGCGTCGCCACTTCTCACAATTGGCCTCTTAGACAGTTTGATGTTAACCACGCTTTCTTGCAAGGCAAGCTCGACGATACTGTTTACATGCTACAACCGCCAGGGTTTGTTGACAAAGATAACCCCACCGCTGTCTGTAGACTCCACAAGGCAATCTACGGATTGAAGCAAGCCCCTAGGGCATGGTACAATGAGCTTCGTCGGTTCTTACTTGCATATGGGTTCAAAAATTCTCTGGCTGACGCAAGCTTATTCATCTACAACAGCAATGGAGTTCTTCTCTACATGTTAATCTACGTAGACGATATCATTCTCACGGGAAACAACCAGACTTACCTCAACAACTTCATCACATCTCTATCAACGAGATTCTCTTTAAAAGACCTTGGAAAACTTTCTTATTTTTTAGGTATCGAGGCTCATTACTCTTCTCATGGTCTATTACTTACACAACATCGTTATATTGCAGATCTTTTACATAGGAACAAGATGGTGGACTGCAACACTGTACCTACACCGATGTGCCCTTACAAACAACTCACTCTTTCCTCTGGAACGCCACTCAAAGATCCTACACAATACCGAGCTACTGTTGGGAGCCTCCAGTACCTCTCCCTCACCCGTCCAGATATCTCCTTCGCTGTCAACAAGATGTCTCAGTTCATGCATAAACCAACTGATGAACATTGGAATGGAGTTAAACGCATCCTTCGGTATCTTGCTGGAACCATGACCACTGGCATCTTCCTCCACAAGCACAACACCCCTTCTTTACACGCCTATACTGATGCCGATTGGGCGGGAAACAGAGATGATTACACATCCACTAGTGCCTACATTGTCTACTATGGGAAGCATCCTATCGCGTGGTCCTCAAAGAAACAAACTACAGTTGCACGCTCATCTACGGAGGCAGAATATCGCTCCGTTGCATCCACTGCATCAGAAGTTTGCTGGGTTACCTCATTGATCACAGAATTGGGGCTAAAGCAACTCACTACACCAACCATCTACTGTGACAACATCGGAGCCACCTACCTTGCAGCTAATCCAGTCTTCCACTCTCGCATGAAACATCTGGCTCTTGATTACCATTTTGTTCGAAACCATGTCCAAGCTGGCCGCATTCGTGTCTCACACGTCACCTCCGCTGATCAGCTTGCAGATGCTCTTACCAAGTCTCTACCTCGCGGCAAACATCAGTCTCTATGCAACAAGATTGGCCTCGCCAAAGGCGGTCCATCTTGAGGGGGGATGTAAGATATAGAAAGGAGATCATTAGTCTCAATCATATATTCTCCCATTACTCTTTGTATATACGCATTCCTTATTAGGCTCTCTCTCTCGATGTATAAAGCTAGAGCTTTGCTCATTGTGAATAATATACAAAACCATATTTATCAGAATCAACCAAAATGATCTTATACTATAATTAACCACACAATTAAATGAAATAATACTGCCATTTTTACCTGTTACATGTAAACTGATAAGCTAATTAAGCCAATACCAAACATTATCATGGTCATGGGAAAACATCATCTAGAAAGTAGAAACTTCGACCACTAATTAATATGATATTTGTATTTGATTTTCTTAATACAGCTATAAACTTCTTAGTTGCGAAATAAATTATTTTGGCGTATTACATACATTTTAAGTAGGGTGATATACAAATCTAGATTTGTTTTTTGGTCAACACAAATCTAGATTATAATACTGATCAAAGACATTCTTAAGGAGAAGAAGATATATATTGCTAGGAAAATTAAGGAGGAGACTCTGAAGCAGTTGAACAGAAAGTTAGGTGAATATAGTTGGCCTTAATGTTAAATATCCTTCTACTCATTCTTCTTCTTTCTTCCCTACGAATATCTTTAAAACCATTCTCGTCTTCGATCTCTTCTCGTTCTTCTTGCTATCCCCAAATATATACATAACAACCCTACATATCGCGCGCGTGTGCGTGAGCTAGAGAGATCTAGATAGAGAAAGCTTCATACAAAATGGAAGGGGTCGACGACACAAACCCGATGTTGACACTAGAAGAAGGCGAAAACAACCCCTTTTCTTCCTTTGACGACAAAACATTAATGATGATGGATCCTTCCTTGATGTTTTCCAGCGATATGGGGCCATCTTCTTCTTGTTCTCCGGCCACTTTTCATATATCTGCTCAGCTAGATAATTTTCAAAGTGGTGGAGGAGAAGATAGGGTGGACATGGGAGGATTAAGTGATCATAATAAGAACAATAAAGGGAAAGAGAAGAGATCTTCGGCGGTGCAGAGGATTGCGTTTCATACTAGGAGTGATGATGATGTTCTTGATGATGGTTATCGGTGGCGAAAATACGGTCAGAAATCTGTCAAAAACAATGATAATCCCAGGTTCTTCTCTTACTTTAGTACATCTAATATAATAATTATGTTTAAAAAAAATATATCTGCTATTCTTAAACTAGATTCTAAAATTGACCTAATAACATATAACATACACTCTTGGTCAATGGTCACTCGTATATCAGTATATCATGGTTGGAAAAATTAGGTTAACAACCTATAACGTCGAAGTAAAATTGTGTTAGTCCAGTTTCTTTACGTTATTGATCGTGTATGTTAACGTTAATTTTAGATTGGTTTATCCAAACCGGTCCCTGAGTTAAATAATCCAACATAAAATTGGTACGTAAAAATAACCAACAACATTTTCACACATGCATGTTATAAATCATCAAATTGATTTGGCAACCTATCATTAATCCAATAGTTGGATGATGTTTATGAATACTGAAAGTAACCCCCAAAAGTCTAGCTTAGGAATTAATTAGTTTTCAAATTTCAAAAATGCAATAGTACTTAACCAATACCAACTATTACAAGGATCTAGTTTCTGAGATTATCACGAATAAAACCTCGTGATTATAATATGAATTTTATGTATAAGAAAAAGTGTAACAGAGAATATCATATATGGAGTAATTCATTTACTATTTTTTTTTGGTAACAAAAAAAATTGCAGGAGCTATTACAGATGCACATACCATACATGCAACGTGAAGAAACAAGTGCAAAGATTATCAAAAGATCCAAAAGTCGTTGTAACAACCTACGAAGGTGTTCATAATCATCCTTGTGAGAAGCTCATGGAGACTCTTAGTCCTCTCCTTCGGCAACTTCAATTCCTCACCAGGGTTTCTGAGCTGTGACTAAATGTTAATAACTCATGTAATTAAAGCATATTATTCATGGTTTAATCATTCTATGTCTGCCAAGAGATCAAACAGCAAAATCTATCTTTCACTTAAGGAAACTCAAAAAAAAAGAGGCTACTGTCAAAATGTAATGCATGAATCATCTTATGCTAAATCGTGAACACAAACAGTTAAGCAAAGCTTATTTGAATATATCCACTCGTAAGCTTGCCTGAAGCGTGCTTAACTAACTATTATTCTTAACTAGTAGGCAGCGTTGACGGATATCAATTGTTAAGCTGTAAAACTCTTAGAGTTTAACAAACTAGTGATTGGTTCATTAATCGTAGCTAATCTCTATAAATACAGTAGCTAATCATCGAAGGAACTCAACTACAAGAGCACAAAACAAGAACAATTTAAAAAAAAATGAAAACAGCTTGTCTAGTCACAATATCCCGGTTGTTGTTATCTGGTGTTGTGTCTGATAACAACGAAGTAGTGCTTGATTCTAAAGGGAGACCAGTAAAGACCAATGCTTGGTATTTCGTCAGCTTTTGGGATCCTAATGAAAGTGATTCTTTCCACAATTAGAGAATCAGCAATTCTGATCCCTTTACATGCCCACATAGAGTGGTATTGGTCCATCATAGAATTGTACAACTACGTTGACCAGTTATGTTTGTATTATCATCAGATGTCGTCGTACGTTTATCAACGGAACTTAACACCAAATTTCCAGGGTTGAACCGCTGCGGTGAACCCGGGGTTTTGGAGAGTCGCAAATAGCTCATTGCCAACCAAAGAAGTAATCCTGATGGGATGTGTTGGATAAGCTTCACTAGCTTGCAGATCAAGCTATTTTTAACAAGTCGGTTCAGGATAAAAAGAAATTATCTACTTGTATTAGAAATAGGAAAAAGGAAATTTTCTATGTATCATTAGGAATATGATTAGCAAAGGAGGTCTAACATTCTTATAAATACCAAAGTTGAGTTGTGGCTTTGATGATATTATGAGTTGTGGCTTTGATATTACAATTTAAGAGATTTTGTGTGTTTAGTTTTGAGAGAGTTTCTAAACATTAAGAAAAAAAATTGTCTTTATACAATTGCTAAGTGTTCTCTAAAATCTATATTTAGTATCAGAGCTTCAAGTTCACGTTACAAAGATCTCGAAGACCTAGGTTGTAATCTCGAGCTATGGGAGACGACAACACAACACATACGAAGGAGTTCTTACCACCAACGATACAATGTCCGATGTTAAGCACAACAAGCTACACGGTGTGGTCTATGAGGATGAAGATCTTTCTGAAGATAAACAAAGTGTGGGAAACAATTGAACCAGGTACGGATGATTCGGATAAAAACAATATTGCGATAGCATTATTGTTTCAAGCCATTCCTGAGGATCTTATTATGCAAGTAGGTGAACAAGACACACCTAAAAGGATATGGGACGGAATCAAATCAAGAAACCTAGAAACTGATAGTGTCAAGGAAGCAAGACTACAAACCCTAATGTCTGAATTTGAAAGAATTAAGATGACGGATTCAGAAACAATTGATAGCTTTGCGGGAAAGTTATCGGAGCTAGCATCAAAGTCGGCTTCACTTGGACAAGTGATAGAAGAATCCAAACTTGTTCAAAAGTTTATCAATAGTGTGCCAAGAAACAAATTTATTCAGATAATAGCTGTTCTTGAACAAGTCTTAGACTTAAAAACAGCGGGATTTGAAGATATTGTTGGAAGATTGATGGCATACGAAGAGAGAATTAAGGATGAAGATAGTAATGGAGAAACAAAAGGAAAACGTCTATACGCAAACACTCACCAGCAAGGTTTTACATCATCACGAGGCAGAGGTGGACGTAGATATAGAGGTCGAAGTAGATAAATTGAAACATTAAATTAAGAAAAAGAAAGAAAATGATGATCTTCAATATAAACATTAAATTCAAATATGTTCTTGCACCTTGATGGGAGACTGAAAAGATGCTGGTGAGTTTATATATGTACCACCACCCTCCACGTTTCTTAAATCGTTTTGTATTTTATAAATTGATCGGGATGAAACAGGTACAGAAAAATTTCTTTGTTATGTATTTTTTTTAATTGAGAAAAAAAAATACATAACAGAGAAAATCATTGATATGTTCTCCTTACAAGTAAGAACAGATCAACTTATTAGCTGGATCAAAGATACAATAAAAACATAGAACAAATCAACTTAGTTTGCTATTGGGGAGCCTATGAGGATTGGGAGGGATCAAAGATTTGACCAACAAACAAAACAGTTCCAGTTGTGTCTTCTCTAATCAAGAAAAGAAATGGTTTATTAGCCACAAAATCTATCCTCTTCGGAAATTCCATACCAAGATAGTCGTCACAAGCTTCCTCAGCAGCAGTGACAACCGCAGCTTCAACGCCTGATTCATCGATCTTAATACAAGATTTATGGTGCACTGACGTTGACTGCAGTCCCAGCTGATTGAAAACCTCTGAAACCAAGAACCCGAACGACATCTCAAACTTTGGGATTCTGAATGTCCCAAGACTCCCAACTTTAACTTCACCACTCGGAATGTGAGCATCCAAGAATCCAGGAGTGGTTGTTATCCTCTCCACAAGATTATTAAACCCTTCTTTCTTGCGGGGTAGATAGAAATACATAGCGAACGTCGTGCGAGTGGTATCACCACGGCCTCCTCGTTGGAAAGGGAGTCTAGCAACCTTGAAACCATCGTAAGCAAAGCAGCTATGTATTGGTCCACATCACTTGTAATGAATGGCACAGACACTGTCGAGCCATTGAGAAGGTAAAACTTTCTCTTCCGTGTATCATAATCATCAAATGGGTTTTGCCCCAAGTACCCTTGAAGTACAATGCGTTCGCATAAACACGTTCTGTTTCGTTAGTAACGGAATCAGGAGGAAGAAGGTACTTGATGAGATCATTGGTGCGTTCTTGAACCCATGAGTTCACCTCCATAAGCACTTCTTCAGCCTTCAAAATATAAAAATACCCATTCATATTCTAACTTGCTTTCCAAGTTTCTAATTTGTCAACACAGATAATACTCTTTCGTTTTAAATTTGTGCACAGATTAACACAACATTTAATTTGGTATATTTTTAAAATAAAACATTATTATGTAGATATATACCTAACCATATTTTAACCAGAAAAATAAACTAGAGAATGCAAATAGTTATCTAGGGTTAATAAAATTCTGCATGAAAATTGTAAAATTTGTAACAAAAGTTTTCCTCTAAAACATCACTTGATACAAAACGGAGGGATATTACCTTTGATCTGAAATCTACGCGTTCGAAAGCAGCTTTCAAGAAATTTTCGAAGAGATCCTTGAACTTAGGGTCAATGGAGAGCGTTTTCTCGATCCAGACACTTCAGGAAGTAGAGGATCTCATCGGAGACTAAGGGGTCTCCGGGACCAGAAGCAACCAGAGTTAGAGCGGAGTATATTGAGGCAGGTGAGAAGATGATGTTAGTGTGTTCGGCCTCTGAAGCGAAGACGTGTCTCGCAAGGAACATAGCGAGTTCGTTTTGCTTCTTCATAGATTCTCCCACCAGTGGCGGATGTAGAGAGAAAGAGTTGACGTGTCTCGCAAGCAAAACGAACCTGCATCAAAAGAGAGAGAGAGAGAGGGAGAGGTCATAACTCATAAATACTTGGGAAAGAAAGAGTTGACGACTTGACGTGCTTTTGTAGTGAACGACTTGACATGAAAAGTTCTAAATGACCCAAAAGTCGTCGTAAGGTGATTAAATGTTAATTAGTGCAAATGGTGGTGTGATTAATTAATTATGGTTTTAATTCCTCCATTGATCCCAACAAACAAAAACAAACGGTTCTGTCTTGTCTAATCAAGAAAAGAAATGGATGCTATGCCAAGATGAAATCTACTGTATTCTTTGGCTTCATCTATGTTTTCAGAACGTGGCAATCCAAGTAGCCATGAGTAGATAGAAGTCACAGTTAGCATCATCACGGCCTAGTTGATAAGGGTGCCTGAGGGAACTCGAAACCTTCATAAACAATTACATATTGGTTATTGTAGTTGCTCATAAAAAGCACTAATACTGATTTGCCATTGAGAAAGTGAAATGGTTTGTTTTCGTCAAAAACTTATTGAATTTATTTTCCTCCTTTTGCAATGCGTTTCCATAAATCCAGTTGGTTACTTGGTTAAAAGCTTGTAACGGACTTTTATGTTATTATCTGTGTGACAGTGAAGCGCACGAATTCACCTACAAACATCTACAAAACCTAGAAGTCTTTTTCTAATCAAAATGAAACTAGGATTTTGCGAACTTTGACCTTCTATCATTGTTAAATGTCTAAATGAAACAACTTGCCGTTTGTTCAAGTGACGTCACAGGAGAACATCAGAGTTCTCATTAAATGCATTAACAAAAAAAACAGCACAAAGTGTATCCAACACATATCATATGATTCATATCTAGGATTCACATAGATCAAAGATACAAGATTTATAAGGTCAGATATTTCTTATTCACTCCTTGAGGAAAAATGAAGGGAAAATACAGGAATACCCCTTGCCAAAAGTGATTCAGAGAAGAAGAATACAGTCTGATGATATAACTTCAGCTTGAGCCAAGAAAGCATGATTTTGTCTTCAGCCTTTTCCACCACCCTAAACAGAAAACAAAACAAAAATATTGGATAAGAGGACGTTGATTAAAAGACTGGATAATATTGTAGTTCAAAGAAGTTCACCTTGCGAGGTGGCAGTTCCTCACCTTCCATTCTTGCCAAATCCGAAATTTCCTTTCTTTTCAGATGCTTTAAGGATTGAAAAGAGCCCGTACATGAATCATCTATGCACTCATCATGGCACCTGCGTTGTCAAACTCTCCAGAGTAGTTTAATGCCGAGAATATAGTAACTAGCTGCTGTTTGCAAACATGTACATGCTTAATCTTTGGTGAAGTGAAATTTTTTTTCTCTCCCAGCCCCGAGTCCCACAACAGTTTCCTCACTTTTCGGTTGTGGCCACTGGTTTTCCTCTTAACCACTGGTTATTTCCGTTTTCGTGATGTTTGACTTCTTGCAGCTCTCCTGAACATTTCACCTACCTTGTTTCTTTTTCCCCTTTTGGAATATTTTCAAATCTCAAACTACCTCGACTGGAGTGCAAGCTACGTTTTCTCCTCGGCTCCGGCCGGCGACGGGACATGGAATCCGGTAACTCCTTACAGTTTGAAGCCCTCCACTACACCATGACGGGAACGACGTAAATTTGGTTAAGAATACCTAGAGTCGACGGATACTCCTCTGGGAAAGACTCTCCTCCGTGGTGTACTCTGCTTTCTGCGTTTTCTTCTACAACAAACTCCTTCTACAACAAGCATTACCAAGATGAGACGTTTCACGGATGAAGAGAAAGGTAAAGGTCTAGACACACGGGCTCCAGGAAAAACTCGCCTCCGAATCAGAGCTCCTGACTTTGACCCCTCCGTGCTCATCAAGGACAACCTCCTAACCCTCATTGGCCAGCTTACGAACCCCAAGGAACAAAGAATGACCTCGGTTATTTCCTTTCTCCCAAAGAAATGGAACCTCGTGGATAAAGTAACTGGAGCTGACTTAGGTAACAACGTCTTCCAATTTCGTTTCCAGGAAGAAGCAGATCTGCAGATGGTCCTTAAGAATCGTCCTTACCACTTTGGCCGATGGATGCTACTCATTCAACACTGGGAACCAGTCATCTCAACATCTTTTCCCTCCCAAATTCCTTTTTGGATCAATGTGAAAGGAATCCCTCTTCACCTTCTTGCAGAGAAAGTTGTCCGTAACTTAGGCTTGGAGATTGGAGAACTCGACACCTATGAAGTCACCAAATCATCGGCGCGTATTAGGGTAGTAATGGATGATCTTAAACCCCTAATAAAGGAGTTAGTAATGGAATTCGACTCAGGTGAAGAATGTGTTATCACCTTGGAATATGAGGATCTCTTCAACCACTGTTCACACTGTTTCAAGCTAGATCATTTACGCTCTCACTGTCCTGAGAGACAGCAGGAAGACCCCCCAGCTTGTCTTGAAACCTTCCCGGAATCATCCTATCCCACGAGAGAGAAGAGCCACCGCTCACCCCGAGCCATAACAAGCCACAGAGCGACAGAGAAGTCAAAGGTTCCTTTGGTCTCCCATTCTCCAAGCAGAGGACGAAGACACTACCATCAAAAAGACCAAAGTCGCTACATACCAAGAGAATAAGACCAGCCTGTGTATCAAGAAAGGGTTGACAGACATGGGAACCCCTTTGGTAACAGAGTCTCTTCTCTCACGGTAACGGCAAGAGGACCTAGGAACAAACTAGTGCCAGAGACAAGAACAACAAGATCTCCTCCGAGACCAGAGGCACCTAACCTATCGGTGCAAAATGGTGATCATTACTCGTCCCCTGCCTACTCTCAAAGAAGGGACCAGCCTTATGTAGCCAGAAGAAGGACTACAAGTAATCACCCTCCTCAAAACCTGCAGTGGAAGAGAAAGGATTCACTAGTGAGAGATGCCATCACAGAACAAGAGCTCCTCGCGACACCTAAGAGAATGCCGTTAGGAAGAAATCTGGATGCCCTTGATTTCCCTCCACGCAACTTCGAACCTACGGAAGAACAAATCTTGGATGATCTCAACAAAGCAGCCCTGCAATATACTAATGTCCCAGACCCCAACGAAGCTGCAGCAAGGAAACAACGGGTCCTTAATAGTGAAATAAATGGAACAGTGGAAGAAACGGTTACTCGGCTTCTACATGGTGTTTCTTGTGGCCCAAGCCTCCAACCAACAATCCCAACAGTAGATGCGGTCCTGAAGGATATTAGGGATGCGACCTTACAGTACACAAGTGTTGCAGATCCAATCAAAAGAGCGGCTAGATTGCAACGTGTGCTGCAGAGTGAGATTGATGGATCGGTAGATGCTTCGGTTGCTGGAATTATTCAGGCCACCTCCGCATCTTTAAGCCTCCCCCCACTGGCTCCAAACCCAGTAGTACAAGACCCACTCACCTTGGGGAACAACATGATCAGGCCTGGTACTGCTCAGAGTCAAACTACTAGCAGAACCACCAAAAGAAGAGGGCGCCAAGCTAGATCACGTGATATCAGGATCAGCCCAAAGGTTTTTTCTGGGTCTTCATCAAGAAAACGAAATCTAGCTAAAGGTATGTCCTCACCGAGTGTGCAGCAACCGTCAAATCCCAACACAGAAGCCAAGACAACACAACCTCGGAGGTCATCAATCCCAGCAGCTAAGCGTCCTCGCCTGGATTTTCCCGAGGATCCTCCCCATCTACCTTAGTCACATTTAGCTGGAACTGTTGTGGGTTGTGGAACCCCATGACAGTCCAGCAGATCAGGGAGATTCACAAGCAATTCTCACCTGAAATCTTTTTTCTTATGGAAACTAAGAACGCTGATAGCTTCGTACTACATGAGTTAGAGTTTCTGAATGTGTATAACCACATGCTAGTTCCCCCCCGAGAGAGCAAACAGCGGTGGATTAGCCCTCTTCTAGAAAGCTGATCTTCATCTCAATATCCTTAGCTCAAAACTTAATGTAACCGACACTGAAATCTTACATAAAGGATTATCTTTTTACGGTTCTTTTGTCTATGGAGAACCTGAAGTCCCTAAATGACAATTAATATGGGATCAACTTCTACAGATAGCAACAGTTCGTAATGCACCTTGGTATCTTACTGGAGACTTCAATGAAATAATTGATAATAGTGAAAAACAAGGGGGTCCCTTAAGGGCAGAAGGTTCCTTCAGTGCATTTCGAAATCTCCTAGCTTGTTGTGATCTGTTCGACTTGAAACATTCAGGGAATTCCCTTTCTTGGCGAGGGAGAAGAGGCATACACTTAGTATATTGTAGACTGGACCGAGCTCTAGTCAACAGCCAATGGTCAGATCTCTTTCCAACAGGACGCAGTCACTACATGGAGCTAAACGGATCAGATCACAGACCCCTGATTTCTATTTTTGACTCTATCAAAAAGAAAAGCAACAGAATCTTTAGATACGATCGAAGACTTAGAGATAATGCGGATGTCAAAGAGATTATAACACGTATCTGGCAAGGATCAACTCACCTACACACGGAGGAACGACTAGCAGCAATCCGCAAAGAGCTTGTCACTTGGAGCAGAGAGCAACATCAGAACAGCAAACTAGCAATCGACACCCTTAAGAGAGAGCTGGACGCAGCCCTGTCTTGCCAAGATGGCGATGAAGTGCGGATTGCGAGTTTAAACAAAGCATTATTAGCAGCCTAAAAAAGCGAGGAAGAGTTCTGGCGACAGCGTAGTAGAGTTATGTGGTTAGCCTCGGGAGATAAAAATTCTAGCTTCTTTCACGCGGTGGCAAAAGGGAAAAAAGCGAGGAACCGCATCTCAGTTATTGAAGATGCAGACGGTACTGCTGTCTTTGAAGAAGAACTCATCGCAGCTAAGATAGCCAATTATTATGATCAACTCTTTACAGCAGGAAACCAGAACGCTAGTAGGGAAGAAATCGCGTCAATCATCAATGGAGCCATCTTTCCCTCCATTACGCCAGAATTGAATGAGAAGATGACTGCGATACCAACAAGTGGCGAAATTCGCATTGCTCTTTTCTCAATACACCGGACAAAGCTCCCGGACCGGACGGCTTCTCAGCTTGCTTTTTCCAGTCAAACTGGAACGTTATTGGACCAGGAATATGTACAGAGATTCAAGCTTTCTTTAGGTCAGGCACCATGAGGGATTCGACGAATAGGACTTATGTCCGAATCATCCCCAAAAACACTGGCGCCAAATTGGTCTCTGATTACAGGCCAATTGCTTTGTGTAACGTTACGTATAAGATTATTTCGAAAATCCTTGCTCTCCGCCTGAAACCAGTGCTTCAAAATCTGATTGGTGAGACCCAGTCAGCATTTATTAAAGGGCGAGCAATCTCTGATAATGTTCTGATAACACATGAGCTCCTCCATTACCTGAAAACATCAAAAGCAAAGGTTAATTGTTCAATGGCAGTGAAGACGGATATGAGTAAAGCAAATGATCGCCTCGAATGGAATTTCATCCGGTTGGTGTTCGAAAGACTGGGATTCAATGAGATTTGGGTAGACTGGGTTATGTGTTGTATCTCTACGGTCTCTTACTCGTTTCTGTTAGATGATTCAGTGCATGGCAGTGTCACGCCATCTCGTGGAATCCGACAAGGCGATCCATTATCTCCATATATCTTTATCCTTTGTGGGGAAGTTCTTTCGGGTCTCTGAAGGAAAGCACACACAAGCGGTCACATGGTAGGTCTGAGAGTGGCGAGAGCAGCCCCACGCATCAATCATCTTCTGTTCGCGGATGATACGATGTTCTTCCTTAGGACAGACACTGGGAGTTGTGCAGCGCTAAAAGAAATTCTGGGCAAGTATGAGACTGTCTCCGGACAAATGATCAATCCGACAAAATCCTCCATCTCCCTCTCCTCGAAAACCCCGCAGGAGACACGGCTTCGTGTCCATTCTTACCTCGGGATCGAAAAAGAAGGGGAGTAGGAAAGTATCTCGGACTCCCGGAACATTTTGGAAGAAAGAAAAAAGATTTGTTTACAAGTATAGTTGACCGCATCCGTCAGAAAGCGAACAGCTGGTCATCGCGTCGACTTACTAGTGCAGAGAAACTGGTTATGCTCAAATCAGTCCTATCAGCCATCCCGTCATATGCTATGACCTGCTTTCAACTCCCCATTAGCCTCTGCAAGAGGATCCAATCCGTTCTTACGAGATTTTGGTGGGAGTCGGATGCAGATAAGAAAAAAATTTGCTGGATTGCTTGGAGTAAAATCACAAAACCGAAGGATTTGGGGGGTCTGGGAATCAGAGACGTCCAACTCTTCAACACTGCTCTGTTAGCTAAGCAAGCTTGGCGTATCGCTACTGCTCCGGACAGCTTACTAGCTCGTGTGTTGGTTGGCAAATACTGTCAAAAAGCATCCTTTTTACTGGTCAAAACTTCTAGCGCTTTCTCTCACGGATGGAGAGGAATCTTAGCTGGTAGAGATCTCCTTAATGTGAAACTAGGTTCAGTGATCGGTGATGGCGAAAACATTAGGGTCTGGAATGACAAATGCTTGAGCACGGAGTCTCCTCTTGGACCAATAGGCCCTGCTGCTGAGAAGTATCAAGATTTGAGGGTGGCTGACCTCCTTACACGTGAGACTAAGGAATGGAATTTTCAGATGATTGAAAAAGTCCTTCCCCATCACCTGGACGAGATTAAACTACTGAAACCGAGCAAGACAGGAGCTAGAGATGGATTACTATGGCTGGGTTCGAGAAATGGAGTTTACTCTACCCGGTCCGGTTACTACGCTGCAGCAGAGCTGGAGGATCACAGAACAAACCACCAACCAAGACCAAACTGGAAAGCTCTATTATGGTCGGGAAGAGTATCACCGAAGTTGCAAGTCTTCCTTTGGAAAATCACACAAGGAGCTCTCCCGGTAGGAGCTAATCTGCAACTAAGAGGTCTACTTCAGAATACAAATTGTCCTAGATGTGGGAGTTTGGAAACAATTCAACATCTTTTTCTCCACTGCGATTATGCTAGGAAAGTTTGGGATTCTGATCTGTTCTCACCACACTTTAACCCTGGGAATTTCACTACAATTACTGCCTTCTCGGATGCTCTGAAATTTTGTAAAAGTTCTGCTTGTCTTTCACCTTGGGGAATTTATTCTGATCTTTTTCCATGGGTCTGCTGGAGTATTTGGACAGCGAGAAACAAGCTCATCTTCGAAGGCTGGTACACTTCACCGACAGATACCGTAAACACTGCCACTGGCAACACACGGGAATGGAACTTGACGCAAATCATTGATTCTCCTCCACCAAACCTGCAACACCAGATGTTGAACATACCCGATCAGGATGTTCTAACATTTGGCTTCTCCGATTCAGCTTGGAATAAAGACACAAAAACTGCAGCCTTTGGATGTATCTTTTTTAACAAGGATGGACAAGTCATTTTTCAGGATTCCTGCGTAGAAAGACATGTCTCCTCATCGCTCACTGCAGAGGCCCTAGCGCTACGCTGGACCATCACCAAAGCCCTGGCACGTGGCTATCTCAGCATCTGTTTCAAAACAGACTGCAAACTGCTCTTAGCAGCAGTCTCTTCGAAGCTTCCTCCGGCTGATCTCTTCGGGATCGTCCAGGACATCGAATATCTATCTTCTACTTTCTCTGCTGTTTCCTTTAAGTTTGTTGCAAGACTTCTTAACTCTGCTGCAGATCAGCTTGCTAAAGCTGCTCTTTGTAATGCTACCCTCTCTTTCCCACCATAATTTCCTTGGTGTGGGCTTTTAATATAAGTTTGTTGTTGTGTTCAAAAAAAAAAAAAGCTGCTGTTTGCAAAAATCTCATACCCATCGTCCACAACCTAAAGGGGAAAAAAATCAACGTCAATGGGTTAGAGCAATAACATTCAACATCAAGATAATGTTGGATTTGATAAGTTAACAAAAGAGATACAACAAGAAAATGCACCTTTCTTATGATGGTTTCATCGATTGCTCTGAAGTATTTGCGATTCCCAATCATGTGGTTGCTAGCTCCATTATCCAAATACCATATTCTGTCACCGTCTGACCGTGTTTCGAAGTCTTTTAGGTTAACATTCTTCTCATTAAGATACACTACCTCATGAATCATCAACCCCTCAGCTTCATGAGAGTTGTCGTCTTTGTTTACTACTGCCTCTTATAACTTCAACAGTCGATCTGGCAGATTGATGCAAAGTGACCAAGTTTATCACACATAAAGCAAGTAATTTTGGACATATCGAAGTCTCTATACGTTCGCGACCTCTATTATAGAAATGTCCTCCTTGACCTATGTTTCTATAATCTCCATTATACTCACAGTTTTCTGTGTATATTGAGACTCAAATTTGGCATACATTAGCTTGCTTTGATCTTCTTCTTCTTCTTCTTCTTCTTCTTCTTCTTCTTCTTCTTCTTCTTCTTCTTCTTCTTCTTCTTCTTCTTCAAGAACTTGCTCGAAGGATGCGACTATGTGGATGTATTTTTTTCGGGGATGACAAGTTTTGATTCTTCAATGGTCACTCCTAATGATATCTCTGATAACTTGCCGGAAAAGTCATCAATAGTTTCGGTCTCCTTCATCTTCAATCGATCAAACTCAGCTTAGAGAGTATGCAACCTAGCTTCTCGTACTCTGTACTCCCCTGGATGTCATGCCTTAATATCATCTCATACCTTCTTCGCGGTGTCAAGTTCTCTTACTTGCAAGATGAGTGCTTCCAGAATTGATTGAAAGATTAAAGCGATTGCCATATCATTCTTATCATTCTCAGTTGTTTCACTCTCAATTTCCCAAATCTTGTGAACCTTAAGGAGTATCTTCATTCGTATGGCCCATGCTGTGTAGTTAGTTGTGTCAACTGTCAACATAGGACAATTGATTGAAGATGGTCCTCCTTCTCGTGGTTTCCCCGTAACAGTGGTTATGACGCCCATTGTCTCGTATTTGGCTTTGATACCAAATCTAGTTTCAACTCAAAGATAAGAACTCAAAGATTATAAGAAAACTCTTCTTATTAGCTTTAAAAAGTTACTGAAAACTTAATTCTCACAAACAAAATTTCTCAATTCATAAGTTATGCAACACTCTTGCATCCCTTAATATAGAGATTCAAATTCTTAAACTTATTAAGCTTAACTTATTTAGATAACTCTTAAATAAGATAAATTTCGTTTTTTCTAACAACTTTATTTTAGCTTGAGGATCAAGTTATCTTCAATTTCAACTCCAACATTGATTACAGTAGATGCTCATTAATGACCATATACCGAAGTCTCGTTTATAAAAGCTGAAGAAGCATGTTCAACACTTGACCAACAAGGCAACAACGAACGTTAAGCCTAACCAGACTAATCACAGGTCTGGTTTGGTTTGGCCTAGAATGTATCTTCCAGTTATAAAGGAAACCAAAAATCGTAGACGCAAACAATAAAAAAAATAATTGAGGTAAGTGGGGAGAGCCTTCCTCTTACGAAATGTCAACTCTCCACATGCTATCAGCAGCGTTGACTAAGAATCACTCGTAATCTCAAGGTTGTAAAAGGGGAAAAAATATTGTAAGAGCTTCAGAATCACGTTCCACATTTCAAGTAGAGAGAGAACCTTTTTTTAAAAAAAAGCGTGGCATTGAAGACCATTATAATTAAGCTCGCCAAAAGCGTGTTTAATTAATTATTTCTTAATTTCTTAGGTAGCGTTGACGGTGATCAATTCGTAATCTATACAATATCTAGATAGTAAGGAATAGATAAATGTAAGCACGTTCATAATGGCTAGTAGAAAACAGGAATTGAACCCCATTATATAATAATTTACCTCTAAATACACTAGCTAACCATCAACGGAATTCAACAAAAAAAAGCACAAAAGCAAGAAATCAAAGAAAAAAAGAGAAGGAAGAAGATGAAAACAACGGGTGCAGTCACAGTCTTCCAACTGGTGATATATTTATGGCTCATTGCGATAACAGCATCTAGTGTTGTTGCTGGTGAAAAGGAAGCAGTGCTTGATACTAACGGGCATCCACTATTTGCCCATGCTCCGTATTTAGTCAAGATCCAGAGTCCGAATGGAACAGCATGGATTTCCAAGTACCCAATCAATACAGCTGATCTCACATCATGCCCACAAAGAGTGGTATCTATGTCTGATGAAATTGTAGGCATATATATACCAATTGAATTCATATTATCATCAGATGAGGATGTGGTACGTGTATCAACAGAGCTTAACATCAGGTTCCCATGGGCCGATGAGTGCGAAGAGTCTGGGATTTGGAGAGTGGCCGATAGCTCATTGCCAGTCAAAGAAGTAGTCATGTCTGGATCGGATTCAAGCAATGACAGCACCTTCAGCATCCAGAAATCTGACAACGGAACTTACAAGTTTGCTTTCGGAAGTGCTGACAAACCAAAGGATATTGGTTTAGATGTTATAGGTCATGGTCTATGGAGGTTGATATTGTCCAATAACTCTGGCTTTGCCATTTCTTTCGTCCCAGCGTTTTAATGTTCCGCCTCTAGTTTACCAACTACTCCTATATGTTCTTTTCCTGTCTTTTCACGTATTTGTTAACTTCAAAGTTCAAATTCAGTAAATATGTAGTTTTTCTTTTTCTTTTGATGTCTTGTTTCATTAAAAATGAATTATAACTAATACTCCTTCCTTCTGTTTCATTATAAGTGTCATTTACACCAAACCACATTTTAACCAATAGAAAAACAAATTATATAATAAAATTAATAAAGTTTGCATTGAAAACCGAAAACGACCTAATACTATTGCAGAAACGCTTTCATTTACCTGAAACCCATTTGAAGTTCTTAAAGACTTAAAGACTTAATATTTTTAAGACCAGTTTAATTGTTCATTTAGGTTTTATTAAATTAAAATAGTAGTATTAAAGTTAAAACTTAGTAATATACAAGTTTCAATAAAACTTGAATAATTTTTTTCTCAAAAAAAACTTGGCTAAAAGCATAAATTTGTTTAAAATTTTTTTTTTGTTAAATAATTAAATATTGAAGATTAAAATTAAAAATTTAAAACTAATAATTATAAGGTTAAAAAATATTTACCCCATAGGCCCTTAACCATATCGACCCGCCCTGCATGCAAGTTAAAATCATCAAAATGCTTCGGCAACCTATCATTAATTGAAATAATTTTAAATTCATTTGTTTTAGTTGAAACTTGTTAAGCATGCGTCGATGAATCAGCGATAAAGGAACAAATATGATGTAACATTCTGATTTTTAGTATAGCCCTGTTCGGTAAGGTGACGATGGGATCACTTCCGGCGATCAAAAATCCTTCTTTGAATTAAGTAGAAACAAAGGTGAAGAGTGAATAACGTGACACTGCGGTTACTGTTTACAAGGATTGCTAGTGTTGTTTCTGACGCTAAATAAATCAGCGACAGTTAAATTAACGCTGCGGCTGTTTTTGATTGTTGAAAGTACCGCCGCCGGTGGTAGTCTCCACATATTTGGGGAGAAAAATAGTTATATTTTTTGATCGTGATCCCTGACGCAGCGTCTTTAAAACGAACAGGGTTTATATGTAGAAAGACTTAAGAATATTAATTTGATTATCTATATTACTAAAATTGATTTATTTTTCTCATCACACATCCGTTTAGAACTTCAAGGTTAAACGTGTTTAAGCTGAATAGTGAAAGGATAAATAATCTATCGGAAATTAATTCGTGATACTATGCGAGTGAGTCTAAAGTACATAGTAGGCTTGGGCATCCGGGTTCTCGGGTCGGGTTCGGTTCGAGTCCTGTTGGAAGTTTAGACTCATATAGGTACTTGTAATTTTTCGGATCAGTTCCGGGTTGGGTCTTAACGGGTCCGAGTCGGTTCGTGTCTACTTTTAATATACCCATTAATACCCGATTTTTCGGTTCCTTAGTGTGTCGGGTCGGTTCTATTCATTTCGGGTCCATTTTCGGGTAAATATTACATTTTTGATTCGGTTCCTGATATTTCAGGTCGGGTCTACATATAATTGGGTAAAAATATGTGCTTCGGGTCCATTTGTACCCATGAACCTACAGTTTACTCGAACATCAAACCTGCGAATCTGCAATTTTGAAAAACTGCAATAATCATAAGTACAAAATGCAATACACATTTCACAATGAGGTGCAATAACATAATCTGCAGTGGTGCAATAACCATAAATAAACATAAAATTAAGACCTGATCAAGTTACCATTCAAAAACACAAAAAAAAAATAGAGAAGTAGAGATCATTACTCTCAAGTCTAAAAGTATCAAAAGATAAAACAACAAGATAAAAGTCGGCTTGCAATTGAAGTTCCATCATACTAGCTGCATCTCCAAGTGGTCCATGTCCAACGTCCAAGACTCCAAATCTCCAATACCAGCACAAAATACTTACCACATCTGCTTGAAAATAGGTTCAAATTCTACAAAATAAAAATAGAAAGGTTAGCAATCCAAAGTAAAATGCATAAAGTAAATAAAGATATTAGACTTGATTACCTCTCATAAGCTCATCTTGATTCTCTAACTCAGAAAGCATTTGTTCCTTCCTTATGAATCTTTTTCCTTTGAATTTAATCTCACATTTGAGCCATTGCTCGGTGCACATCAAGACTTCTATCATAAAATGTGTCAAGCAGCTTCTGCTTGGGTCTAAGACACGCCCACTTGTGCTGAAGGCTCATTCGGAAGCTACTGAAGACACTTGCATTGCAAGTACATCTCTGGTTACTCTTGAGAGAACAGGAAACTTAGGACTGTTAACCTTCCACCATGAGAGTACATCATACTCAGTACCATCAATTAATTTTGGGTACTCCACACTCTCTTTCAAATACACATCCAGCTCATATGTTTTTTCTTGAACCCCTACTTCATTCACAAGCTCAAGGTAGAGGTCACTCATGCTTCATAAGCTAGTCAATTCCCAAGCACGGTTTGCTGAGATACTTCTTCTACAATTTTTTCTTGGGACTGATATGAAGTTCCTTAAGACTGAGACTGAGCATGATTAGACTGACCATGAGAAGACTCATTGCTGATCACGTAGCTGTTATACTCATCAAACAAGCTTCTCAAGAGGTCTTTTGTCTCATTAGTCAAAAGAGTAACCTCAACACTGCCTACTCCATACAATTTCTCGAAACACTTAACTACAAACTTCATCTTCTTGCTTGGATCAAGAACACCAGCGACAATGATTATCTTATTCATCTCAGCATTCTCAACAAATGGGGACCAATATTTTCCTAATTTTCTATTCATTGTAGCATCATTAGACCTTAATATTTCATCAGGGCCTGGAGTTGTGCTTAATAAACTAATGTTCCTTGTGATAGTGTAGATTGCATGATATAGTTTATGAGCACATGCTGTATTTGAAGCTGACAAAACTAATGTCACTTTGTAAAAGATGATTAAGAATTGTACTAACCTATTAACAGCTCCCTAATCTTCTTTTGCTGGGGTCCAATGTGTTTTCTCCCTTCCACTATTTCATTGAAGTAGTTGTTGTATAGTCTGTCTTCAGCCTTCATCTTGTCAAAAGCCACTTTAAACTTCATCTTTTATGTTATTAATATGATCGTTATTAATATGATCTGTGTGACGTGAAGCCCACGAACCTAACATCTACAAATCCTATTTTTTTCCTAATCAAATTGAACTAGGGTTTTGCGAATCTTGACCTAGCTATCATTATTAAAGGTCTAGATGAAACAGCTTGTCGTCTTGTCAGAGAACATCCGAGTTTTCATTAAATGCATTAACAAAAAAAAAACAGCACAAAGTGTATCTCACGCATCATAACTAGGATTCACATAGCTCAGAGATACAAGATTTATATGGTCAGGTGTTTCATATTCACTCCTTGAGGAAAAGTGAAGGGAAAATACAGGAATACCCCTTGCCAAAAGTGATCCAGAGAAGAAGAAGGATACAGTCTGATGATATAACATCAGCTCAAGCTATTGTCTTGAGCCAAGAAAGCATGATCTTGTATTCAGCCTTTTCCACCACCCTAAACAAAAACAAAACAATGAGATTGTATAAGAAGATGTTGATTAAAAGACTGGCTAATAGTGTAGTTTCTGTGCTTTCAAAGAAACTCACCTTGCGAGGTGGTGTTCCTCGTCTTCCATTCTTGCCAAATCCAAAATTTCCTTTCTTCTCAGATGCTTTAAGGATTTGAAAAGAGCACGTCAAGGAATCATCCACACTCATCATCGCACCTGCGTTGTCAAACTCTCCACAGTAGTTTGGTGCCGAGAAAATTGTAACAAGCTGCCTATTTGCAAAGAACTCATACCCGTCTTCCACAACCTAAAGGATAAACAATCAACTTCAATGGGTTAAAACATAACATTCAACTTCAAGAAGATAAGTTAACCAACGAGATTCAACAAAAACAGTTTTGCCTGAGAAGAGTCTCCTCATGTACCTGGTGAGCTCTGCAGATTAGGTCCAGATCATGCTTTTGAAGAAACTCCTCGACCGTATCAACACCAAAGGTGTACGAAACTCCCCTGTCATTCTCTCCCCACCCTTCAATGTCCTTATCAGGATCAGACCACAACAAATCACACAGCAGTCCATGATCAGGAATATCAACAGGACGAGCAATGTTCCTGATCTCATCCAAATGCTTCAACTCAGGGGATAACCCACCGTGCATACAGAGGATCTTCTCATCGATGAGAGCAGCAACAGGGAGACAATTAAAACAGTCAGTAAATATCTTCCACACTTTAACGCTATATCTCTTCTTGCACTCGTCATAGAATCCATAGATACGGTTTATAGAAGCACACTCATGGTTCCCACGGAGGAGAAAGAAATTCTCTTTGTACTTGATCTTGTAGGCGAGAAGGAGGCATATTGTCTCAACACTCTGCTTACCACGGTCTACATAGTCACCAAGGAACAAATAGTTTGCAGCAGGTGGGTAGCCACCGTACTCAAATAACCTCAAGAGGTCTGAGAACTGTCCATGTGTATCTCCTGCCAAAACAAACATCAAAACAACATCGTTATAAAAGTGCTACATATCTTATATACAAGGTTAAAGAAAATCGCTTGCCGGTAGTTAGGCGCTTTAAATGAAATTATTGATTAGTCTGGTGCCTAGGACGTTTTTAAAAATAAAATGTTATAAGATACCGCTTCATTTAGGTCTGATTTGCCGATTATACCGATTTTTAGAACACTGTTTATATAAAAGATACTCAACACCGATATAAAAGAACAGTGATAATCTCTGATTCACGTTACAAATCAAGTAGACCCAGTGACTCCCTCTAAAACAAGAAAGTCACCAGGTTTCATATGCATACTTTTATAAATATCAACAGCTCGGATTCATATTCATCAAAGGTTTGACCAGTTTCTCTAAATGCTAACATCTCTGATAAGCTATCAATCGCAATTCTTAACCAAGAGATAACAAAAAGATGGTGGTGTTAGGTCAAATCGCTGCATCAGAAAATGATCGGATGAATGAATTAAAGAATACCACAAATCTTGATAGGAGCCTCGAGTTCGAGGAGATTAGGTTGACTGAGAAAGATCTCTTTAGCCGTGGAACAGAGGTGTCTAATCTCAGCCTCCGTAAACTGAACCTGCTTCGTCGTCTTCCCGTTTTTCGCCCCTAACAACCTCTTTATGACGTCATCCACCACACTATCTTCCATCAAAAGATAACCCTCGACTAGGAAAACACCGTATGAGATAAGAGTTTTCTGTTTCCGATATACTGTCTCCGATCAAGGGGGGGGGGTTCAGAATCACCCTTCGAGAGAGAGAGAAAGGGGGTTGAGAAGACGAAGCCCTAGACAGAATCGGCTTGAGACGGGGAAGGAGACAAAGCGAAGCACGCGTGCGGCTCGTGTGAAGCGGAAGGGACGGCTTTATCTGTTGACCAATATTAAAATAAAGGATTTAACGGAGTCTACACAAATATAACGGCGTTCCTACTCGGATAAGGGGTATTTTCGTCAGATAAATTTTACTTGACCAGGCCAATACCTGGATACTCGAGTTTTCATGCAAAACCCAACATGTCTCATGTCATGCTTACCAATGACAAAATACTTTCTAGAGGGGATAACATTATTGATATCAACTCGTAAGAAGAAATCTTCCTATAGTGTAAATTCATTTTATATAGACGAGATTTGGTTAAAAAAGGAATGCAATGGTCAGGGCCGCCCCTAAGCAATGCCTAGTGAAACATTTGTTTCAGACCTCCAAAAATTTTGTAAAAAACTACATGAGCATAGGTCCCAAAAAATTTTTTAGGTCCCCAAAAATTTTTTTTACTTAGAAATTGCTACAGGCCTCCAAAATTTCAGGGCCGGCCCTGGCAATGGTGTGGGAGATAACTTTAAATAAACATGTGGACTAATACATGGATATCAAACTATCCATTACGCCCACCACGAACTTTTCTACATTGAAAACATAAATGATTGGGCTGTGCAAAATCTTACTACAAAAGTTGTTGTTAAGAAAGATATTGAATGAATACTTGCAATTAAAGTAATCTATAACTCAACTGCTTCTTTGGAAGAGAAAACTGAAGCATCCTTTTTTTGTTGTTCTTTGGTAAATTTAGCACATTATTCTTATGGATATTGTGGAAAATCAGTACACTAGTTGTTTTCCAACAAAAACAGCTGAGGTATTGGCGAATTCTTTTACAATATGCTACAAATGATGCAAAAAATGGAAGGATGTGGATTTTTGGACTACTCTTTAACCATACATTGTAAGCAGTGGTGGAGTTAGAACTTTTGTTCATCGGGGTCAATATATATTAACTTATCTATCTAGTAATTATTAAAAGAGGTGCAAAATTAACATTATAACATTAAACATGGTGGTCAATTGTATCTAAACTAGCCATTTTTTTCATTTATATTAACAAACTTATATAAACCAAAAATATATAAAAATCATAGGGGTCAATTGACCCCCTCCCCCTCTGTCGTAAGTAGCTCCGCCATTGATTGATTGTAAGAAAGGCATCATGGAACAGTGGTTTATCATTTATGAAGAAATGGATGAAATGCGTAATGAATACTACAATGGATCGTCTGTAAACGTAGATATTCAAAGTAAAACAGGATGAGCGGTGTGTGATGAATACTATAATGGATCAGCATATGCCATAGGAAGAACAATTCATAATTCTTTAGGAAGTGAACTTCAAGTAATTTTTGTGGCTTTTTTTTTTGTCACCGTGTAATCCTTGTGGCTAAGAAGTGAACTTCAAGTTATCCTCATGGCTATACAAGATTGTTATACAAAAGGATATCAGTATATCACAAATTATAATTGAAGGGGACTGCAAGAAGGGAATCGACTTCAAATTTCCGTAGTCTTTTATCTTTCGTAAAAATGGTTTTCTATCAATTAATTAGATTGTTTACCATGATTATTTATAAACCGTACTTTCTATAGTTTGTAGAAAATTCCTGTCTTCAATCTTTACCTTTTGGGCCTTTCTATAGATATCCTTACAGGCCCAAATCTAACGGCTTATATCCAAGACGTGAACGTTGTTCTTCGAATCTTTGGCCCCCATTAGGTCGACATTTAACGCTTCGTTAACGGAGAGAGACATTTAACAAAGATAGCTTTTGAATATAATTTAACGCTCGTTTGTCTTCCGTCTCTTGTTTATATCTTAGAAAGTAAGCTATTGATTTCCTACGTGGACTGTACCTGCCCGAATAAACCAACGGCCGCGATAGCGTTATATAAATCGACGGGTGAGATTGAATCTATATCGTACCCTCTTAATTATTAATTTAAAGGTGTGTGACTGGATGGAGACTACTTTCTTTTTGTTATATTTTCTTCTCCGTTTCTCACTGACGAATCAGGAAATAGGGTTTTTGTGGAGGTTTTGAAAGCTACAATGTCGGACGAGCACAAACACGAGGAATCAATCATGGAGAAGATCGCTGAGAAGATCCATGGTCACGACGCTTCTTCCTCTTCAGATTCAGATGACGAGAAGAAAGAATCGTCTATTAAGACGAAGATATACCGCCTTTTCGGAAGAGAAATGCCTGTTCACAAGGTCTTCGGTGGCGGAAAACGTATGGATCTATAGTTTTCCTTATCGGATCTGGATTTTAGCTGACCGTTATGCTAAGTTGGGCCTAGGATCTCTCGATGTTGTAGATTAGTTCTGTTGATATATAGATTCAAAAGATTTGCTAATTAGATCTTGTTTTTTTGAATCAGCTGCTGACATATTCCTATGGAGGAACAAGAAGGTATCAGGAGGAGTCTTGGGTGCTGCAACACTCTCCTGGATCTTATTCGAGTTGCTTCAGTACAACCTCCTCACTCTTTTTGGCCACGTGTCGATTCTTGTTCTTGCTGTTTTGTTCTTGTGGTCTAGTGCTACTACCTTCATTCACAAGTAAGTCTCACAATGGTCTTAATGTTGAGATTGTATGTATGTTAAAGGGTGTGATTATTTGCCATTTAACAGGACACCTCCTCATATCCCTGAAGTTCACATTCCCGAGGAAGTTGTTCTCCAGCTTGCTTCTGGACTAAGGATTGAAATCAATCGTGGTTTTACTATTCTTAGGAACATTGCATTAGGAAGAGATCTCAAGAAATTCCTTATGGTAAGTAAACCTTTTTTTGTTCAAGATTAGATTGTTGGCTTCTTGTTTTTAACATTGGTAACACAAATCTTGTTTTCAGGTTGTTGCTGGTTTGTGGGTTTTGTCCAAACTTGGTAGCTCATGCAACTTCTTGACCTTGATCTATATCGGTAAATAATCCGTACAGTCCCCTTGTTGCATCCAATCCATGCTCTGTGTTGTATTTTGATATCTAATCCTCTCTTCTCTCTGCTTTTCAGCAACTGTTCTTCTCTTCACTGTTCCTGTGCTCTATGAGAAGTATGAAGATAAAGTAGATGACTTTGGTGAAAAGGCAATGAAGGAGATCAAGAAGCAGTACGCGGTGCTGGATGAGAAGGTTTTGAGCAAGGTGATGAGCAAAATCCCTAGAGGAGCCAAGAAGGATTAGAAGACTGTGTAAGTTTCTCTCATTATCATCATCATCTGAGTCTTCCAGATTGATATATAAATCTTGAAGCATTGTTTTTGACTTATTATTGGAAGCTGTCTTGGTTAAATAACCCCTTTACTCTCTATCTGTGGATCTTATTCGGGGTTTTAACCAAACTTTACACAACATATGCATTAATGAACTCTATTATTGTTGATTTTATTACGGAACTAATATCGTCTTCGTTATGATGGTCAAATCTTTGAATTTTGAATGTTGCAAATTTAAATTGCTTCTTTCTGCCACTGATGTTTCTCACTGTATCCTATCATTCGTATATATATTTGCACACAAGTTCAGATTTCCGAAGTCTCTCAAGATAGCTTTGCAAAGATTCTTTCCTAATATGTTTCCGATGATGATGGTTTGAGACCGGTTAATCAGTTTCAGTTTTATTTGTAGTCTATCATTTTCTGGTGGACCAATACCGTTCATATCTGGAGTTGTATTGTATTATTTGGGAGAAGTTTATTCAATGAAAATACACAATATTGTTTACCAATTAGGGTCCGATTAGTTTCATCTTAACCGGTAATAAATGTACCCATCGAACTGAACCAGTTAATGTACTAAAGAAAGAGAGGAGCTTAGAGATCATAGAGAAGAATGAATCGAGCCGATGTTGTGATTTCTCTGTACAAGAAGATGGAAATGCCTCTGATTCCATATATAACATCTTTGGTGTCACGGACAACAATCATTTAATACTCAACATGTCGCGATATGTTTAATTTATACCAGACTTATATGACGTGCAAACACATACTATATTTTTGAAAAATCCAAATAACATACATATTTTTTATTTCTCTCGCAAACCATACATCAATTGGCACATCAACTACCACATCATCTAGTTTTGCTAACAATGATGCTACATAAGTCAATTTTGTTAAAGAGGTGCCACGTGTACACAAAAAGTTTTAAAAATAAAATAAAATTGCTGTTCTATAAAAATAAATTCTAGAAAACGTAAATGTTTATTAAAAAATTGACAGCTTATAATTATATATTTAATAAAACCAACAAAACTTAACTAAATAATATAATATTTTTCTTATATAAGAGTTATATTCATTATAATGTTTCAACCCTATCAATTACTCTTATATTAATGTTGGTTATGTGTTTGTATATAAATTTTTTTAGATATGTTATGTAATCATGCGAATAATTTTGTGTCAAAAAATTAAAAAATTATGATATATTAACCTAAAATCTTCAAAAGCAAACAACATAATCAAGATTAATAGAGAGTAACATGACTGCAACACTGGCATCGAAACATTATAATGATATATCTCTTATATAAGATTAAAATTTTATTATTAATTAAAATTTGTTAATTTTATTAAATAGTAAAGATTTATAAGCTATCAAAATTATAAACGTTTACATTTTTTAGAAAAAATATTTTTATAAAATGGTTTTTTATTTTTTCATATTTAAAAAACTATTGTACATATGACATTCTCATCAGCAAAATTAGCTTATGTAACATCCATGCAGCAAAACTCGATGAAAGTAGATGATGTGACGAATAATATATGATTTGATCAAAAAGTAGAAAAAATGTATATTAATTGAATTTTTAAGAGCTAGTTTGGTTTAAAACAATGAAAGAAGTCGATATTAATAAAATACCAAAAACAATAAAATTGACTTAACGTGTACTGAAAAGATGTATAAAAGGACAATATTATCTCTAGCTCATAGCTATATTAACTTCACGTTGATATAAGAAATATAATAATAAAAGGACAGCAGGATTTTTGTAGATTGACAAAGATCTAGGAAAGATTTTGTTTAGATTTTATAATCTACTTCGATAAACAAAGATGTACAATGGCGTGGAGGTTAATCTCCATCCACATATTATCTAACACAAATATGCCATTTGATAATTATGGTTTGAAATCTGGTCATGACCATGATGAACTTGAGCAGCAGTGACGGCGTACTGATCATTTCTCTTTCATTAACGGTGGTGATGACCATAAAACTTAGAAACTGCTATTGGTTTTGTAAATATATACGTACATAGGCACAAAGCTTCATCAAAGACACATAGGTGGAACTTCGTCGGAGACAGAGGCGAAAAGTTTCACCAGAGACACATAGTCCGAGAGTTTCACTGGAGACGCAACAATAGATAGCTTCACCGGAGATACATCAGCTGATAAATCTTACTTTGTTAAATGACCATTTACGTGGCTATATTAAATTATAGCCGGTACCTAATTTTTAAATGAGTATGTAGCTGAATATACAACTAAGAAAATTCATGCTGAATATACAACTAAGAAAAATCATGATTTTAAGCTAATACATAAGAAATTAAGATCACACGTATGACATATTAAATGAACATGCAAACAATATTTATATAAATGTATTTTTTGAAAACGTCAAATTGTTGGACAGCTAATATAATTTATACACGGTTACCAGAAGAATTACTTAGGATAAAAATTAAATTGTTTGTATTGTCAGATTATTAGACTGTTAACAGATTACTTGTACGGTTAACAAATAAATTATTTGGATAAACTATATCACTAAACTAAACCCAAAATCTTAAAATTTAAACATTACCAAATTATAAACCCTAAATACTAAAACCAATCGTAAATCCTAACCAAATCATAAATCATAAACCCTAAGCTTCAAACAGAATATCGTAAACCCCAAACCCTAAATCAATGCTCTAAACCTTATATCCAACAGCGACACCTTAGACCCTAAACCATTGATCCTAAAGCCTTGACACTATAATACGATACACTAAACCGTATTAGACAATTTCATTAAGCATAAGACTGGTAGATGGAGAAGAAATATAATCAACTATCAGATGTCCAATTTTTTTTGTTTTTGGATGGCTAACACAATTAATGAACAAGTTAATAATAAGGTTAGTTATAAAGTATCATACCCTTACACGTTATAGTTTTAACCATAAGTCGAAACCCCTAAACCGCCTATAGTCTATAATATTATATTGCTAGTTAAGTTTGTAGTTAGATGTGTAAATTGTTTAATAGCTTGTTAAAGATAATAAGAAAACTAATTTTCAATTATCTGAAATTCATTGTTATGGTACAATAATGTTCCAACTATCTCTTGAATAAAATTTACCATTAATAAGTTTTCGAGCTGGTAATAAATTTAATTATCCAGTTAATATAATATTTACACGGTTAACGAATGAACAAGGTATTATCCTATATCAAATGTAAAACCACAGAAAAAATATGATAGTGGCTTAACATGTAGAGAACATATAAATACAACATATATAGCATATACATCAAGTGGAAATATAGCGGCGAAAATCTTGATCGGTAGCAGCTGAGGGAGCTTCACTGGAAACGCAGCAGTGGACAGCTTCATCGGAGACGCAGGGACGGAAGAGCTTGATGGAGACGCAGAGACCGAGAGCTTCACCAGAGACACAGCGGCATAGAGCTTCATCGGAGACACAACAGCGGAGACCTTCACTGAAGACACAACAGCGGAGACCTTCATCGGAGACACAGTGGTGGAGAGCTTCACCAGAGACGCAGCAGCGGAATCATCAGAGACGCAATAGCCGAGGGCTTCACCAGAGACGCATCAGCAGAGAGATTCACTGGAGATCGCATCGAAGGTGATGAGACTCAAATTTCATAAGATTTGCAGGGAATAAGATTTGGTAAATCAAACTGAAGATTTGGAAGATACAACGAAAAATGTATTATCATTTAACAGTTATAAGGGTAAGAATGTCAATAAATTTACGTATAGTATGTAACAGTGTAGATTAGGTATTTAGCTAGTTAAGGCAAAGTGCTTTGGTAGAAATCCTAATTTCTCTTTTTTTAAAGTACAAATATACTTTTGCACAATTATGTAAATCATATATGAACTGAACAGTAAGAAATGACCGTTTTTCCCACGGCTTCACTATTCTCACAACATGTTTCTACAGCTGTTGCGAGTTTTCCTTTGCTTTGTCTTTTTTTTTTGTAACTGTCCGTTCGGGGTGGACACAAGCCAAGTATTCAGTATTTTTGGTATACTTTGAATGACTTAGTTTGTACGCGTAGTAAATATTTTGACTTGTACTTGGTTTGCTAAAAACGAGTATTTGCAGTTTCAAATACTTGCAAAAATTTGACGGACTTGTAAGTTACTTGGCTTGTTTTATTACTTGTAAATTACTTACAATTTCATTTAATTATTGGTAAAATATTTGATAATTCATTATAATTTAAAAGGGAAAAGGGCATATTCCTACCCAAACAATTTCAATCGTGCCAAATACAACCCGAACAAACATTCAGTGCCAAATACGACCTGAACTATGTTATAATTCAAAAATACTACCTGAACTTTTTAAAACGTGCCTAAACCTACATTGACCATAACAGAAGTTATTCAACCGTTAAAATGATAAAACGACGTCGGAAAAATGCCTATTCCTACGCAAACAATTTCAATTGTGCCAAATACAACCCGAACAAACATCTAGTGCCAAATACGACCTGAACTACGTTATAATTCAAAAATACTACCTGAACTTTTTAAAACGTGCCTAAACCTACATTGACCGTAACAGAAGTTAGTCACCCGTTAAAATGATAAAACGACGTCGTTTCGATTTCATTATTTTTTTAAAAAATATGAACATTCTGGGATTCGAACCCGGGCCTTGCCACTATTTAAAACAGACATATCAACTACTAGACTAAAGCAATTTTTTTAAATAATACTACAAATTTGCAATTATATATGCTTTTATACTTTTTCATCTTCTCTAATTAAAACTTTGGTTATTATTATTTTTGATTCTTATTAATATATTAACATATTTAATAAACTTATAAATACTAAAATATAAATAATAAAATATTTATAATTATACAAAATTAAATATATTTCATGTTTTGAAACTATTTACAAAATGTCCATATATAAATTATTTTAAAATTTTAAAAATTGAATGTTAATTTCTTTTGTTTCTTAAAATTAATATAATCTGAATATACTTTACCAAAATAAAATAAATTACCATTAAGTTTTATTTTTAAAATAATTTATATATGGACATTTTGTAAATAGTTGAAAAACATGAAATATATTTAATTTTGTATGATTATAAATATTTTATTATTATATTTTAGTATAATATAAGTTTATTGAAGATACAATAATCACAAAATATGTTAATATATTTATAAGAATCAAAAATAATAATAACAAAAGTTTTAATTAGAGAAGAATAAAAATTATAGTAGCATATATAATTGCAAATTTGTAGTATTTTTTAAAAAAATTTGCTTTAGTCTAGTGGTTGATGTGTATATTTTAAATAGTGACAAAGTCCGGGTTCGAGTCCCGGAATGTTCATTTTTTTAATAATATAATTAAAACGACGTCGTTTTATCATTTTAACGGTTGACTAACTTCTGTTACGGTCAATGCAGGTTTAGGCACGTTTTAAAAATTTCAGGTAGTATTTTTGAATTATAACGTAGTTCAGGTCGTATTTGGCACTGGATGTTTGTTCGGGTTGTATTTGGCACAATTGAAATTGTTTGGGTAGGAATAGGCCTTTTTCCCGACGTCGTTTTATCATTTTAACGGTTG